CATTATTTTATTCTTTTATGGCTGAGTAGTATTCCATTTGAAAAAAAATATAGAGAGAGCATCTTTTTTATCCAACCATATGTCCATGGACATCTAGGTTGCTTCCATGTCTTGCCTATTGTAAATAGTGCTGCTAAGAACATTGGGGTGCATATATCTTTTAGAATTAGAGTTTGTTCTGGATGTATGTCCAGGAGTGGGATTGCTGGATCCTATGGCAAAGAGTTATTTTAATACAGCTAGCATGTTTGAGTGCCATAAACACATCAAAATGAATCACTCTGCTCTCTCCTTCAACAAATATTACCTTGATGGAATCCCTGCTCCTCCCTCCCCACCCCTGTAGACACACACACACACACACCCTAAATTTGAGTCCCAGCTCTGCCACTGATGAGCTGCTTAACTGTAGACAGGACATCTCTCCTTCTGACCTGCTTCCTTCTCTGTAAGATGGGAGGTTCCAACTAGACTGCCCCTAAATCAAATTTCCTATCCAGCCCAACAAGATCATTCAGTTTCAACCGAGTACACCATCCGCCTGATGCTTTCATGCCTCTGCCATGATCCTCACCCGCCAGACACCCTTACTTCACTTGGCAAACTTTCCATGTCCATTTCGGGTTGTTATTGAAGTGTCATTTACATGCAGTAAAGAGCATAGATTGTTAAGTGCAATTCACATTAACAACACGCCCCCAGTAAGCCAAAGCCCTGCTAAAAGACAGGCTGTTTCTGTCACCTCAGAATGTCCTTTCGTGCTCCTGGTTACCCAGAGGTGACCACCATCCTGACCTCCATCCCCAAAGGTAAGCTTGCCCGCCCCGGAACTCCCTGTAATGGAATCATTTGTTTTGGTCTTCGGTGCCTGGGTTCTCTTGCTTAGACAGGAGGTTGCAGACCCACGTTGTGCGTGTCACCAGTTCCCCCGTTCTATTGCTGAGAACCGCTGCGTGACTGAACAGGTCACAACCCACCTGGCCCTCTGCCCGTCTCAGGAACTTCCTATGCCAGGCATCACGGTGGCTGCGCTGTTGACAGTCAGGGTTCCTTCCTTTTCCTTTCAAAGCCATGAGGTTTTGCTCTGGACGGGGCTTCTCCTCGATTCTCTCGAATCTTGAGGCTTTCTCAGAAAGGGTCTGGAGTCATCCTCACCGAAGGACCAAGGTGCTGCCTTCCTGCCGCCTCACTGAATGAATGCCTGGTGGTTGGGATGCCCATGGGTGCCCACACCGTGCCCCCAGTACCCGGCCGTGATTCTCTGCTGGGCCTCGGGGAATCCTGCCCTGCCCGGCCCCCTGGGTGTTCGCCCAAAGACACAAAGGACCCTGTGCGGACATCTGGGGGGTCCTTTTCTAAACTCGGCCTCTCCTTAGGAGCCCACTCTGTGCGTCCCAGCCTCCTCAGCAACCCCAAATCCTAAGGTTTCTTTCTTTTACACAAGACCCTGCTCTTTGTTTGGATTCTACTTTCTGGGCCAGTTTGGAAAGTGTCCATTTCTCGAGGAAATGTTCTCAAACAGCCTGAAGCACAAGTTTTCACTCCCCTTTACGCTCCCAAGGCATCTGGAGAATGCTGGTCAGGTACGTGCTGTACAGAGAGAAACTCGTGTTTGCAAACCTGTCCTCCGCTAGGCCCACGTGAGCTGTTGGGTCCCTCGGGAACAAGCCAGGTGTGGGGGGTGGCCCGGCCCCATCTACAGGGTCCGCCCAGGTGCTTGTGAGAAGGTGTACGTCTCCGCTTGCTCTGACTCTCCAAGTGAAGAAGGCCTCGGCCTCTGGGAGGAAGATCAGAATTTCCACATCTAGAGAGAGCGAGCTGAGGTCTGTCTGGCTCTGGTGCTGAGCGTCTGCTCTGGGGTTAAGGGTCCGGGACTGAGCCTGGCATTTCACTCTGGGCCATTCTCAAGGAGAGGGTGAGCCTGATGAATGGTATCTGCTGTAGACGTTCCAAGAATGTTTGTTGAATAAATAAATGACCTGCACTGCTACATGGCCCAGCCCAGGCAGCCCACCCCTCCCTGTGGCAGCTGCCTCCCCATCACCAGGGAAGGGACGGGCTCAGAGCTGCCTATAGGGTCTCTGAGGCCCTCTCCCCCGACCCCCGAGCTGGTCCTAGCTCGGACCTCATTGCATACAAGCACTTGAGCAGGTGGGCTCCCAGCCTGGGTCTTTTCCCATCCTCTGTTCTCCACGGAGCAGCCAGCGTCATCCTTCAAAAACACAACTTGACCACATCATGACCCTGCTTCCGGGTCTTCGGTGACAGCACAGTGGTGAGCTCGACTGGCTCACGGCCCCTCTGACCTCGTCTTCTCTCTGGCCACTGCCCCCACACCCCTTGGACCTCACTGTGTATCATCGGGGAGGGTCTCACAAACTCTGGCCTGCAGGCTTCCCTCCCACACCCCTCCCTCCCTGCAGAGCTCCCTGAAGGATCTCACGAGGTCCCAGGACACTGAGACAGGGGTGTCCTGTGGGCAGATGGGCACGGGTCCCCATCCCTGCCAGTGCCCCCACGATGGGCCCCGGGTGCTGGCCGAGGTGAAGGCTGACCCCTTGGAGATGCTGGCTCTGCACTTCCCACGTGACCCCACGCCTGTCTGCATCATCCCATCCGCCTCGAGGACCACATCTCACCACCCTCCCTTGACGCCTCTCAGCACAGGGGGCCCCTCTGGTCCTGCTCGGGGTGCGGGAGTGGGTCTCCCCTTTCCCTCACTTCTCTTTTCAGCCCATTGCTAGAAACCACCTGTCCGGCTACGCCTCGGGGCCATCTGTCTTAGGAACCCAGCAGAAGTTTGGAGGAGTCAGAAAGCTCGACCACAAAGTGAGACATCTCAGGTGTCCTCTGACAGCTTTTACCTGAGACGCTCTGGACCCACACCGCCTCCAGCTCTGCACATGTTCCCGTGTTCTCCTGGCCAGTTGGTGAGCTCCTATTCAGTCTTCAAAGCCAGCTCCCATGTTCCTCCCAACAGCCAGCCCCGCTACCCTCCTCGGTGCCTCCCTGCTCCACGGACGGCATGCCTGGTGCAGCCCTGTGATGGCTGGTGGATGCAGATGGCTCCCCACTGGGCTGTGGCCTCCTTGAGGTCAAGGACCACACCCATGACCTCCATGTCCCCCGGCCCAGAGCCGACTCACACCCCTGCCCATGTAGAACTTCACAGACCCCGAAGCCTCCCTTTATCCTCCCAGCACCCTCCCCAGAAGAAGGGGCACCACCCCCACCCCTGGGGGAATCGCGGTGTGGCAGGGCCCTCAGCCCCGCCGCTGGGCAGGAGATGGGTAGAGCTGGGACTCCAACCAGATTTGATCGATTCCAAAGACGAGGCACGTCCTACAAACCCAGCGTCCCAAGGAAACATCTGCCAAACTGTTTGCTGAATCATTTTCTAAATTGCTTCCCTCTCTGAAGAGTAAAAGCTTCTGCTGCAAAGACGTTGATCTGAAACAGTAGTCAGGGGCCGTCAGCCTGGACCAGCCCATTCTAGGCTTATTCTGTGTGGTTCTTACCCACTCGTATGATGATATCATGGAGTGCCCCCCCCCGGAAAGGTGTGACCCTGACTCACAGCCATGCATCCCCCCTCGGCTCAGTCTTAGCAGCAGAGAGCGTTGATGCTGGAATCAGACAGACCCAGAACCCCCAGCCTGGCCCAGCCTCCTTCTGGCAGCGTGACCTCAGGGTCCTCTCTGATGGATGTTGACACAAAGCCCCCAGGGCCCTTGTGATCCTGGTTGGTAATATACGTCCAGCACCAGTAGGTACTCAATTGTGAAAACTTGGTCCAATGCAGGGAGCGTGTGATTCACCACCCAGACCCTCCCTTCAAGGGCAAGGCGTTCCCTCCTCTGGCTGCGGGGCTCCCAGCTGCATCCATCCCGAGAATGGACTTGGCTGAAGGGAGCCTCCGCACCCAAGGTCACCCCACCCCAGGGGAAGCCTGCACCCCTCGACTGCTCAGTGCCTGGATTAAAGGGCTGGCCCCAGGCCTCCGTTCAGGCTGCGTCTGCAGGGCCCTGCTGGCTCCAGGGCTCCCCCCATCAGCCCCACTGCCGACCAGCCCTCCTCTGCCGCCCGCATCCCTCACTCCAGCGGCCTTGAGAGCCCCCTCAATCAGCCTCCGCACACAGGAGACCAGCCTGAGGAAGTGACCGATTTATTATCATCCAGGTCCTTCCACTTGGAAACCCAGAGGCTTCCTATCCCTGGGGAGGGGGAGACGCGCGTCGCAGCACAGAATTGGGCAGGTTTGGCTGCACTTAAACAACCCCGACTGTGTTGCAGCGAGAAACCTTATATCTCGTTCTCGTTCATCAAAGCTGTGGCTCGGCTGGAATGGACTCCACGTGTCTTCTCCCTCCCGAGCCCAGGAGGAGGGGCAGCCGCCATCCAGGACTGGACAAGCTGTTCTTGTGGTGGAGGGGAGGGGCAGGGCAGGAATGGGGAGGGCAAACCAGCGGAGAACATTTAAGCTACCGCTCAGGCAGGGCTAGGTCCACCGGCCAAGCCCCCGGGCAGGGGAAGGACAGGAGGGAGCCAGTGATTGTGACCACACCCTCTTAAGGCCTCACCATCAAAATTCAAACCCATAACATAATGCAATGCGGCCCTTGCCATCCTTGTCATGGTTCTCTTCACCTATCAATTTAGCAGAGACGGGAGAAACATTTACAGTGTTGGCTGAGCGCTGGAGGTCAGGCTTGTATCCTTTTAATAGGAACATAACTTGGTCAATCTCTCTGGAGGGCGATTTGGCAATGTTTTATGAAGCCACAGGAAAATGCTCACGTCACTCACCTGGTATCACCCCTCCTGGAATTTAATCAGACGGAAGCACAAATGTTTCCACGGGAGGGACCTTACAACCAGGTCACAGACAGTAGGTAGGAAATGGTATATTCCGCCACACTCTCCCTGCCCTCGCCCCACCCTTGCCACAGCTCCGGGTGGGTGGAGTCAGTGTCTGCTTCACTGAGTCCGGGCTGGGGCTGAGGCTGGCTTCGAGCCCTGGAATGTGGTGGAAGTGAAAGGGCTGGGGTGGCAGCAGCGGGAGGCATCCCAGGGTTCGGATCCCCGCTGCTCCCCTGCCGGGTGGCTGCGGTCCTTCCTCCTGGGCTCTGAAATGAGAGGAGAGGTCGGTGGGGCAGAGCTGAGCCCACCCACAGCCCAGGGACGAGTCTAACCCTTGTTGAAAGCCCCTGAGAGGTTTGGGCTGTTTATTACACAGCACTATGACAGCCAATAAAATGGGGGAAAGTTTTAAACGACCTAGAAAGAGTAGAAAAACATATTTTAAGTGCTCCCTGTGTTCCGGGCACTTGGCAAGTGCTTTACAAATAACAGCTCAGTTCTTGCTCAGAGCAACCTCCCGTGGGCTGTGCAATTTTTTAACTTAATTTTACAGATGTGAAAACGGAGGCCCCAAGAGATCAAAGAACTCGTCCACGATTGATCACTCGAAGCTGGTAAGGCCCAGATCTGAACCCATGCGGCTTGGCCCACACCAATCACAGAGGTTTGCTTACATAAGCCATAAACTATCCAGACAACCGTTTGCAGCCATTAAGAAGAACTGGACACAATTGAAATGACCACATCTCGCCCTTTCCTGCCGCGGGAACGCGCACGTGGACGGCATCGGCTCGCCCCTCCCCGCCATGAGCGCACCCACCCAGCGGGGCGTGGCCTGCGCTTCCGGTCACGTGATCAACACCCCACCCACCCCCCTCAGAGCACCTGCGTCTGCCAGCGACCCGGAGCCCACTCTGACCGATGAGAAAGGTCATGCAGCCTCCAGGGCATCAGTGCTTAAACAGGTCACAGGTGCCAGCCGAGGGCGAGCCTCTGCGTAGAGGCGGGTCGCGTCCTTCTGAAGGGTATTATTTCCTGATGCAGAGAAAAAGCTATACGTGGGGGGAACAGAAATCCCAAAACCGGGAGAAGGGAAGGAAGGAAGGAGGCAGGGAGGGAGGGAGGGAAGGAGAGACGGAGAGAGAGAATGGAGGAAGAAGCCCAGCGGCAGTCTGGCGCGGTTGGGTCTCTCCGCCTGTCGGCCTTGCGTGTGAATGTCGTCCTAGTGTCCGCTCCCTCCGCCCGGCGCGTTTTGCTCCACATTGTTTGTGAGCGTCGTCGTGGCTGCCGCTTGTCTGTTTGTTCTTGTTCTCGCTGCTGTGAAAGCCCACTGTGTGAGCATCCCAGGTTGCTTCATCCATCCACTGTGATGGACGTCTGCGTGGTTTCCAGTTTGCGGCCCTCACAAACCTTCCAGAATTTCTCTCTGCATCCATGCTAGGCACCTGTGCACATTTCTGCCGTGTCTACACCGAGGAGCAGGATTTCCGGGTCCTGTGGGGGCCTAGGTTCAGCTCGGGAGACGTTGCCAGCAGTTTCCAAAGTGGCTGACCGGTTGCAATCCTGCCAGCATTGTATCTGTAGTTCAAGGGTGGATGCAAAGGAGGGAAGGGTGGGGACGAGGAGGGGCATGGGGGCGGGGGCTCTCAGGTGTTAATGTTTCATTTCTGGATCTGGGTGCTGGGTTCATGGGTGTGTGCAAGAGGTGAACACTCATCCAGCTGTGCCCTTAGGATTTCTGCACTTTTCCATACATGTATTATACTTCAATAAAATGTTTCAGAAAAATATTTCTATAAACATATGTATATATATACACATATGCACGTGTGAATCAAATGTCTCCGCATCCTCTAGCTAATGTGGTCACCTTTGCCTTTAATATTCAAAGATCTGCAGGTCACTTGATCGTGCCAGGCACTGTGAACCCAGCAGTATCCCCGTCAATCTCGGTCCTGCTGGTGACAGAGAAGATTCATAAGCAGTGACCAGAGGACACATCTCCAAGGACTGATGTGACCTGTGCTCTGAAAAGACAGGGTGCTTCCAGCAAGGAATGAGGAGCAAGTGCTCGCTGAGTCGGGGCATCTGGGAAGAGCTGTCCTAAAGGGGCTGCGGAGTTCGGGGCAAGGAGGGAGTGTAGGGTGACGGCTGCCCTGGCAGTGGGAACACGCAAGGACCAGCAAGGAGGTGGGGACCAGGACAGAGAGAAAGGGGGTCAGTGGAACCAGGTGAGACGATGGGGCAGGAGGGGCCTGCCAGGCACTTGGGCCAAGACAGCTGGAGCACAGAGGAGCACAGAGGAGCAAGGAGAGCAGAGACAAGAACAGAGGAGCAGAGAAGAGCACAGAGGAG